AATGGTAAGATTCTTCTGGCAAAAACATTGTGAAAATCGAGAAGGGAAACTTGCCTTTCTTCATTGTGCTGCACACCATGGAAGAACAGAAAAATATTGAAATCAAAGTGGTCTTTTACCTACGTTGAGTTGCCTAGTATATATTTCCCGGTCTCATCATATAAGTTTATTTTATGCCCGTGTTATACACAAAAAAATTGCATGTACCTTTTCATCAAGCCATCTTACATACCGCAAGCCCGAGCATGAGAGACAATGCATATCAGGTATCCATCCAATACCTTCCTCTTTATTTTTATAATCATATCTGTATATTTAGTTTGCAAGTTTTATATAAATCCATTTCTATTATTCTGAAGTTAAGGCCCTCTTTTTGAGCATCGTCTCTCCCACCCTCTTAAGTGGTATGCTTCTTGGCCAAGGGGATACGAAACCTTAGGTAGACGGAGCTTTAAGTTGAATATGACTAAGTAGGAGAAAGCTCCTTCGACCCTCAGACAGGCAAGGTCCTGGGTATCAACCAAGACTGCAATGCGTGTTCGAAAAATCAGTGCTCAAGGTGTCCTGCAAACCAGTTCTTCATCGATGCTTCAGCCAAGTGATCCACTGTTCAGAGTTGTCATTTTTATTTATATGGATCCCTGAGGGATTCCATTTGCATTCAAAATATGTGAAAGATTCTTTTGCAAAATGCATTTAAATTTATGAGAAACTGTGAAGGTGACTTCATGTGTATGAATTTTAAAAGTTAGTGTCATTCAAACATGCATACTCAATTATTGCAATTTATGACAAAGAATTTTCCCGAGAGATAATGCACTTGATGATACTTATTCTCATAGAGCTATACCTACTGAGTCAGAGGGGCTATATATTCCATTTTTAGACTGTCATTTCTCTACTTCAGAAGTTAACAGTGTTATTAAAAGTCTCAAGAACAAAAGACCTGGGCTAGATCCTCTTTCCAACGAAATTATCTTTTGCACAGACTTTTCAACCTTTGTTTATCATTAGGAGTATTTCCCACACAATGGAAAAGACCTCAGGTTGTTTTAGAAGTCCTTTCATTATAAGAACATTTTAGCTAGTTGAAATATATTTCATCTTGTCGCTGAAGGCACCAAAATATTCTTTCTTTCTATTTAGCATAGACTGCATTTTAAGTCTTCTCTCTCTACTAATTTTAATGTATCTCAGTTTTTATCTGGTCATGGTAAATTTGCAAGTTACCTGTTTCGTTTCAATTTAAAATCAAATAATTTATGCAAATATTTAAAGCTTGGCATGATATAGCCAGTGAGCTTATCTGTTTTTGCAAAGTCATCTGGACTTTGTTTTGTTCCTTTTATTTATGCATGCAATATTTAATGTTTTAGTTAACTTACATTCATAAGCCCCATGTTGTACACAAGTAGTGCACAGGGAGATTATATGTCAGGGTTGCCAATCAAACAGGAGAATGAATTTCCAACTTTACCAGGTGTGTTTCAAGGAAATTCCAGGCTATCTGCATAGTATGCATTGGCTGTGCTGAGGGTAAATTAATCATGGTACCACTTGAAAACACAAAAATTTGCCAATTACATATGACTTTATATATAATCCCCAAAGTGTTACTTTTATAACTATAATAGGAATTGTTTTCTCCACCGAGGGCTGAGATTAAAATCTGCCCAATAGGGATTTAGAAATGTCTTTTCTTCAGAAATTTTGCAGCTAAAGAAAGAAAGAAATCTATTTAATGATAGTTTAAAATAAATTCAAGTATTTTATATTTATTTAGCAGCATATATACGTAAAAAATATTGCACTAAATTTCATGGTCATTATTTATTTAGCAGCATATATACGTAAAAAATATGTGCACTAAATTTCATGGTCATATGACTGCTAGAATTAATTTCACAGACAGAGGAAATTGCCTCAAATTCAAAAGTATTATTAACTAATAGTAAAGAAATTTAAAAGGAAGAAGACACATTAAATGATACAAATAACATTAATATAAAATTATTTATTTAAAAATTAAAAACTGAATTTGCAAAAATCGACAGTGTTTTGTCAAATATAAATATATTAAATAGTTAGCCTAGATGACAGATTATTATTATTTTTCTGCAAAATGAAAAAATAAGGCATTAAAGAAAGAAGAAAAGGTTTATAAGATTTTGTTTTATATGAGAATGGGGGAGGGGATTTACTTTTGTTCAACATGCACTGCACATGCAAATCTCTGGATTCTAGAGGCTACTGGAAACAAACATAGACAACACACACACACAAAAAAAAAAGATGCCCGAAACTTGTTTTGCCTTTCTAAGACAACCTGATTGGCACTTCAAAAATTGGCTCTACTCCAGATCTCTGAAGGACGCTCGTGCAATACAAGATTCGCCAAAAAAGTGACATTTAACATTTAACCATAATTTTGACTTTGGGTCTGCAAAAATTATCCAAAAGGCTTCTTCCATAGGTGAATTGGATTTTCATATTCACAAAGATTTAGCATGTTTAGTTAATGATTTTAAGTCCAATCCAGTCCTTCCTAATGCCTTTAAAATTCTACTATCTCAATTCAGTTCATACTATTTTTGTCGATAGATGGCGTTACCTCCTCACGTTTGGTACTACCAGAGGATATAAAAATCCGTTCAGTGGTTGCTTTCCATTATTCTAAGTTCAGATTTTGAGCGTGAAGGTGCAGTAGCCCCACGCTCCCTATTTTTAACTTTCGCTAATTTTGCTTGTTCCTTTGTGTTACATGTTTGATCAGATAGCCTGGCTCATTAGTAAAGTAGGCGGCCAAGTGTAAACTCTGATTAAAAATTCCAGTTATAAGCACGTGCGGTGCTGATAAGGACCACGTGTTTCTGAGACTCCTTCCCCTTTATTTGTCTTCTTTCTAGGTATTTCTTTCTCCTGATGAGGAGGGACCTTTAGCTGCCCTCAAAATCGATTGAGTGTTTCATTATACTTACGCTAAATACAAGGTTGTTTTTACGATTTTAAGTAAATATATTTTTTGTAATGTTTAAGACAATCGAGTCTTAAGTTTTCTACTGCAGGGTAAAAATTATTAATATGTTAAACCAATTTCTAACTTAATAGCAAATAATAATGCATAATTAGGCAAATATAAATCTCTTTTTCTTTAATTTAGCTGGCTTTGAATACTAGCACAGATTTCAAATGGCAATAAAATCGTGCTAGTATTCGTTTCTTTCTATAAGATTAAAAATTTTAAACTTTCCTTTTATTACTCAACTCATATAATCTTTCAAAGAGATTCAATGAGTCTTTCGATTTCTCATATTAAAAACTTTGATACTTTTGAATAACTGGCTGCTGACAATTCTTTAATTTCGGAAAATCAGATAAAGAAGCAAAATGATAAATGCTGAGATGAACAGTTACACTAAACTTAGTGATTTCAGATGTAAACCATGAATACAATAAAAAGGTGACTCAGAGAAGTGTGCTATCATTAGATCAGTTAACAAGATTTCCTCCCTCCAGTTTCTCATGACTACTTTAGGATGCCAACTAATAGAGTATTTAAGGCTTTCTTAAGCTATTAGTACACTAAATTGGCATAAATTACAAACCTTTTCTAGAGTAGCTTAGAGATGAATGTATTGGGTTTTAATGAAAGTTTCCCGCCACCACAAATATCGTCTGCATAAAAAGTTCACATTGGCATGTTTAATCATATTTTTCAAATGATTTTTGGCATTTAGAGCAGTAAAAAAAAAAAAAAAAAAAAAAAAAAAAAAAAAAAAAATCATTATTAATAAGGAGAAGGTGTCTGCTACCAGATTCCAGATTAGAACCACATTTACTTCCAGTTCTATTCCAAAATGTCACCTACTGAATGCCACCAAATCTTGTGTACAGCTTTAGGTACTAATGTTTCCTATGACACTGTGAAAGTTTAGTACAAAAAGTTCAAAAACAAGGACCGTGACATCCAAGAAGCAGAGTTCTTGGGCCGGCCAACTGACGATGAAGCTGACTCAAGCATATAAAGGCAGACATGTTCCGTCCTGGAATAATCTGCTCGGATATCAACACAAAGACAAAATTCTGTGATGAAAAGTGGATTTACTTCAACAAAACAGGCGGAAAAGGGGGTTGGTCTGTGCCCATGAGTCCGTTGTTAAGTGACTACCAAAACGATCACACTTTGTATATGATGGGATTGTAGTGTTATTATAACTACAAAGTATCTGGAAATAGGCAAAACCCTTGACAGTAAGGTGTACAGGGAAATGTTAGTCATTGTAAGAAAAAAACGTCAAAATGAACACCGGTGCAAAATAATGCAAAACCACATGTGTCTGCATTCACCGATTGGACTCTAATGGGATATTTTGCTACATCCACCATATAGCCCCAACATTGCTCCTTCAGATTTCTACCCTTTTCCACATCTGCAGCTACATTTTGCTGGTGCTATCTTCCATTCCGCATAGAACGTCTAAAAAGAGGTTGATCTGTTTTTGGACTTGCGGCCACCAAGTTTCTGGACCAAAGGCTTTGAAAAATTACCAAAAAAAAAAAAAAAAAAAAAAAAAAATCATAGATTTGGTTGGCAATTATTGGTTCTAAGGGTACTGCTTTCATGTTTATTTAATGTTTTTTGGTATAAAACTTTTGTTACAACCAGATAGAAGCAAAATGCACAGCAATTACTTTATTTCAAAACTAAAGCAAATTCTACAAAAAAGAGAGAGAAATATAACATATAATAAAAAATTTAATTATATGTTATATTCTTTAAGGGAGGAATTGAGAAATTTTTTCTTGAAACAAAACTGCATTCTAACAAAAACAACATAACGAAACAAAATTGCATTCTTATGACTTTCCCAGAATTATATAAAAATGTTTTCCTCCCCCCTTTTAAAGAATACTACAACAAAACCAATATGAGAAAATATCTCCATATTTATTTTTAATTCAATTTTGGTTAAGAACTCGAAGTCAATAATAAACTTGAGGACAATAAATATCAAATGTATTTATTTTAAGCATAGTATTCACACAAATTTAATTACAGTGTCTTAGAAGTGAGTAGCACAAAAAATGGTCCATAAGTCATCTGAACACAAAATTACAACATTGAAAAATGGATGACAACGTTTATATACAAGTGAAGATTTACAGATGCTATCCATCTCCATTTTCCAAGGCCAGCTATTATTCTGTACAGAACTGTTTGAGAACAGTGCGACTAAAAATGTTCACATATTTTTTGAACGTCGTAGAAAAATACTTAATGGCTTCTTTTTCATCATACTAAAATAGGAGCAACAATGGAATCAGGAAACAGACTGTGGTAATTGACAACAGGTACGTACGCTGCAGTGATAACTCGTCCTAAAAAGACATATTAGCATATATATATAAAATTTTTACATTCCAAACAATTAACACACAAAACTTAATGATGAATGAGATTAAAATTTTCATTTCCTATTCATATATGTTAGTAGGCAAATTAATTCATATATTCACATACACGTTAAGAGAGAACCAGATCTTTCAGAAATAAATTTCTCTATAAAATTTTTTCAAAAGTTTCTATGAAATTTTAAAGTTTACGGGAACGGAAGCTGAAATTCTATTAAATTATATTTGATGTAATAATTCTAAAATATTAATTTTTTTGCAGAAAAAATAAAATTTTTTAACACGAAATACATTGATTTGATCTTTTTGAACTGTACAAATTAAAATTACAACATATATAAATTAAAAGCAAAGATGAAACTTAGCACACACATGTGCTACAGCATTAATGGAAATGAAAGACTAGATATTAAGTATTCAATAACATTTCATTACTAACAGAGCATTAAATTACACTTACATTCATTGAAAAAAAGCAAATAAAAGTATTGACTATAAAAAATTCAAATAGCTTTAGTAACTTTAAAGATTATACTGCCTAATTATATAATTTTAAACTACCTTAACACGGATATTTACTTCTATTTCCCACAATGATTCTTTGAGGCACGAGACTTATTAAAAAATAAAAGTTTTGTGATAAAATACAAAATTTTAAGTTATTTTTCTTCAGGATAATTTATACCGATTATGAACAGTTATTAAAAAGTTGTTGAATGTATTTATAATTTCATATATTATCATCAACTTTTTCTGAACTGTCAAAAATTTATCTCACACAGAGGAAAATATACAAGACAAAATCTTATGAATCTCAGAATGGAGAGCCTAATTATTCCTATAGCAAATTACATCTAATTTTGAGGACCTGTGATCAATGCAAAGTCTTTTCGTTTAATTACTTCCTTAAGAAACAACAGACAGATTAGAAGTTGCTCTTTTGTAAAACTCTTTTATTTTCTACATTAAAAATGCAAAGGGTAGTAATCAGAAATATTTTAACATTAACTATAATCAATGGTCTTGCGACCAAGTTAACAAAAAGTGTAATAATTTTTGCTATATGGTAACATCTACCGATTACAGTTATTTGTTGTTATCCCACAGTAATTTGTAACTCCTTTATTGCCTTTTTATAAGAGTAACACTATATTCAATGAGTGAAAAGCAAATGCATCTGGTTGGTTATTTCCAGCCAAATTATTAAAAATGTTTTGTTTAAAGTACTTTTAAAAGTTTTATAAACTAGCTTTATATTTCATTAATGCAAATACTATGTGATAAGAACACTGCAACTGATAGAGAAAACACTTTATGCATTAAAAATTAATGGCTATTCAGTATTCTTAAATTTAAAGTTATGTTTTGTCAATATGATTTATGTCAGTTACCTTCCTTATTCAGAAATATTTCTTCCTTTACCAAGATTTAACAATACCAATCGCATCTAAATGAAAAGCTAAAACCAATTCGTAGAGATAACTACTGATCAGCAATTTATATAGGGAAAGCTTTACTTTTCCCTTGGGCTTATAAAGGTTAATTTTTTACATACTGGGGCTATTTTTGTCAACCATGGCCTAGAGGAAAAGTTAAATGAAATTTAGCGATATTATAATTGATGGAATTCTTTTGGTGATAAATATATCTCAGGGATACTGAAAATGAATTTATTGTATAATTAGAAGTTCTAAAAAAGGGACCTAAATTTAAAAGAAAAAAAAAACTCAAGCCTGAAACACAAGTTTAATTTACAACAAAAATCGGTAACTTACAATATACTTATGAACTTATAACTGTAAAATAAACACATACCTGCAAACCACCTACCGTGCAGTGCTGTCACTGAGGCCACTGCAGCAGCAATGGTTGGGCATTTCACATAAACATTTCCTTGGGGGGACATTTTATCAACATAAACATGCATAGCACCACCATGTTTTTTACATTCCTCAATGACATCATTCCTTATTTCTTCGTCCCAGTTTGGATTAGTTTCACTAAACGAGGGTGAAAAAATAATAACATTGGGAAAAAGCAAAATTTAGAAGTAACATCAGGAAATTCTAAAAACTATAAATATCCATAACAGAACCTTCAATTAACAACATCTCAATTCTGCAATAGATAAAAGTTAATTTTAACATACTGCATAAACAGTTAACGAAAGGTTCGTGAAAATTCTATTTGTAGGATTGTTGCGAAAAAAATCTGTTATTTACATTATTTAATTCTTAACAATTTACTACTTGGGGGTGGGGAGGAAACAAATAAAGCTTTCGTAGAAATGAAAAAATCAGAATAATTCCGACCCCTCTAAATATATATATTATTACTAAAATCATCTCACTTCTACTTGTCCTACTACTACAAGACATTCTTATGAACACCATGCTTATTTTCCTCTTAAAATGAATTTACAAGGAAAATCTTTTGAATTCAAAAATAAGTGAAATGTACATAAAACAGAACAGTTACATGAGAAAAAGGAGGAGAGACAAAAACAAGGGTTGGGGGAGGAGACTGAAACAACTCCTTTGAGTTAAAGTGACACTGATTTTTTTATTATTATTTTTAAAACAGTATTTCCAATCTTGCACCAAACTGATACTATATCAGACTTATTCACTACATAACCTCTCTTTAACAGTTACTAATTATAATCAGGATATAAGGTACTACAAAATACGATTCATTTAGAGAAGTTCAGCCCTCCAAAAGCATCTATATCATATATTTCTAAAGGGCGTAACTAATGCTGCCCAGATCGTAACAACAAGAATTTCATCTCAGAGAAAGTTAAAAATAAAGTAACAATTTTTGCAACAGCAAATTTATTAATTAAAAACAAAAGAAAACACGAACGGCTGTACAGTTACATAAAATATACTTAAATAAATTGTACAATACAATACACAAGAGAAACAAAATGAAACTTACGTAGCTGGATCAAACATATTAGAAAGAAGAAAACACTGTGTTGCTATAGGTGGAGTTATTGTTTGTTGAGGTGTTACTAAGCCTTGTGACATCTGCAAAGCAGATACAGCTGCTGCAGGTATATTTAAATCAGTACCTAAATAAAATAACATATATGAACTTTTAAAGAAGAAAAATACAAACCATAAAAGAATTTCATTTTTGTCAAGTACCTAATATCATACAGAATGGGAACTTTTACATTAATACCTTGGACATCTACTGCTGAATGTTACACTATTAAAATGACATACACTTCTGTTCTAAATTGTGAAGAAGTTTCAAGTTATATAGACATTTGAACATAATTTTTTTATTCCCAAGAACTTAACTATTTATAGCACATTGCTGAATAAAAGCACTCCAAAAATAAAACTATAAACCAATACATAGTTGTAATTCTATGGATATTCTTAAAATAAAGGGGTAAGAAAATTTTTTAGAAAAATAACTGAAAGGAAGAGCCACTTCCAATGAACTGGACCCTGTCCCTCTTTTATTACTTTTTTATTGCAGAATGATGCACAAACTACAAAACAAAATTTTCAATGAAAAATAAGTGAAAATGCATGTGATAACTATAGCAAATGATCTGTTGCTTTGTTTTTTCATCTGTAATGTTGTGCTGTTTTGAACAATGATTTAAATTATATAACTAATCCTGCATGCCTGTTGCTATTATTCAGTAAACAACCCATATTATAACTCTAAAATGATTTCATATTTTTTCAAGTAAAATTTTTGTAAACTCGTTGACAACGAATTCCAAGAAATTAAAGAGAAGAGCAAAGCAATTAATAAACTAGTTAGGATTCCCACAAAGGTGAAAATAAATTATTGAGAATTATGAAGACAGCATGCATATGCAAGATGCCACTATGAGCACAATGGTATATAATCATTAAAAACAATGACACTATTAAATCGGTGAACACTGCAGAGATAAAAAAAAAAAAAAAATATTACTAAACAAAGTTTACAGGTGCTAGAGCACATTGAAAAACTGCTTTTTATCTGGAACATGTAAAACTGCTTTTGTATTAAATAAATAATATAAAATAACAATAGGATTTTATACGAACAAATTAATTGTCTTCCCTTTATTTCTTATTAAAAAATTTCATTTGGTGTTACATCCAAGGATCTAAAACACGTTAATAAAGTAAACTGAGGTACCACTGTAATTTGGTTTCTTTAAAGCAACACGAAAATAACAATTAATAAAATTACTTCATGACAGCATGTTATACTATTGCATTATTTATCATAAAATTATTGACCATTCAGTGTTTTCTTGAAATGGCATGAATCTTCAGTATTTCAGGAATCAAATGTAATACCACTAATCACATTTTACCTGGAACCTATGGTATTACTGATTTACAGTACTACAATTGACAAAATGTAAATAACTAGATGTTTTGTTTTAAGCTGAAGCCTCTTCCTTATCACTTATATAAAAGATAAACATCAATCACATGGCACTTAAAAGAAAATACTTGCAAGCCTCCACCTCACTAAATTAACCAGGATAAAAAAGGCATGGCTGACTTTATGCAGATATGACTTAATGCTGCATTTTTGCATTTGTTTATCCTTTCAATATATACATGAAATTGGCAAATGTTTATGAAAAAAAGACATTGGAAAATCTCGAATCTTCCCAAAAAGATGAGTCGTAAGATTTCACGAGAGGTCATGAATGAGTAAGTACAGGATAAATTTATTTATTTATATCACTAAGCTAGAGTTTGTTAGCTGCTTTGAAATACCATAACTCTTCAAAATATTTTTCCGGGAGAGGATCTCAAAAGTGACTACAAGCAATTCAAAATACTTAAAATGGTAATAACCATGGATTTATCCCTGACCCACAGTCCATGAAGAAGCAACGTTCCATCTAAACGGTCAAGTGAATTATCACAATGTCCATATACAGTGTCTCACAAAAGTGATGGGACACTTGTGCTTTACAAAAGGAAACTGGGTACTTTTCCGTTTCGCCGGGGCGACAACATACAGTATACACATAAAAAAAATTACAAAAATGTTAGGTCTAAGAATTCTTTTTTTGAATGTATAAACATATTAATATCGCTTACAATTTTATAAAAAGCCAATAAATTTGCAAAAGAACATTAATTTAAGAATTTACTATGGTTCAACATCCTGATTCGCCGGTTCATATCACGTGACCCCAAGTGATCTCATCTCACGTAAACTACTCTACAAAAATCTAATGCTCTCAGTAATTATCTACATTAATTTCAAGTTAAATCTTAATTTGGAACACAAGTTTAAATGCAAGAAATATTTCAGTTCGTACGAATAGCTTACTCAGAAATTATGTAAAACTGCAGTGCTTTACTTCGCTAATGCATTCTCATTAGAATCGATGAATTTAACCTTTGACTTTACCTTTTCTATATTTTTGGCTTCGGGCAAGCTCTGTCATTGCATCCTAATTGACTTAAATTTCGAAAATGGCCTTAGACATAAAACTGAACTATCTGATAAAAATTCTATGTAATTATATGCCAGTAATGAAAGAAACAATCAATCTGATAAGAAAAAGCTGCGACTTGTTTTGAAAATGAGCCGTAAAAGGTTACCAGCGAGAATATTCCATTTGGCATCGGTTGTAACATTATTGGCGACTTTATCGCTTGTGCCGGCAAAACGGAAAAGTACCGGAAACTGTAATAAAATAAATTAAAAAAACATGTAAACATATTTTGTGGGTGTGTTTCATACTTAAATTTACTAACAATTATTACATAACATACATTTTCTCAAAATATTAATTTAATAAAAATACAATTGTTTAGAACGGAGCAAAAAATGGCTCGCATAAGTGATGGGACATCATTAGATACTACTACGTTCTATAATAAAAATATTTTTGGGGTTTTTTATTTTTACTCAAAAGCAATTGGCAATTATTTATAAAATCGTCTGCAGTAGTATTTCTCTCCAGTTTGTTTTGGAATTTTTGTGTTTTTTTAGCTCTGTGCAGCCATGAATGCTAAACAAAAAGAAACTTTGCCTGAATTCGAAAATTAGTTATTAATTTGCATATTGAACGTGGAAAATCTATTAGAGAAACTTCTGAAACAGTTAACTTGAGTCATTCAAATTCAGTTTTAAAGATCATTAAACGAATGTTGTGATTTCCACAGGGTTGCCACTCAAACAGGAGAATGAAATTCCCTGACTTTTTCAGGGTGTGTTTCAAGAAAATTCCAGTCTATCTATTCGCGTAATGCACGTTGGCTGTGCCTAAGAGGTAAATTAATTATGGTATTACTTGTATTGTGTAGCAAATTCACTTAATTATTCAACTAAATCCCAGGAAGACATTTATTCTTAACTTATTCTTGGTATACTTTGTTTTTGATAATTTTTGTTTAGTTTTTCCACTTAAGAAACTTAATAAAATTTAAGATATATACATTGGATAACAAATGTATGTTTTATTTAATTATTACTCATGATCATCACCAGTTCAACACGAGGCTAATCCGGTCCTTATAAATCACAACGCAATGCTAAATAGTTAGGCTAGATTTTAGGTAAATTTAATTTGCGTGAGGTATGTTCTTAAAAGGCACCTTAACACTTGAAAACACAAATATAATTATAATAGTTTGTTGTTTTCTCCACTGAAGATTGAGATTAAAATCTTCCCAATCTGGAATAAAATAAGGCTTTTTTTTTGCAGACATTCTGCAGCTAAACGAAAGAAAAGAAATCTATTTTAATAAATTGAGGTATTTTTATATTTATTTCGCAGCATACATAAGGAAAAAATATGTGCATTAAATTTCGTGATGGTATGTCATCATACTGCTATAATTAATTTCAGGATTATGCCAGAGAAAATTTCCTGAAATTTGGAAATATTATTTACTAATAATAAATAAATTTAGAGGGAAGAAGCAACATTAAATTATATGAATAACATAAAAATAAAGATAATTACTTAAAAATTGAATTAGAATAATCAACGATATTTTAGCGAATATAGTTACATGGCTAGCCTAGATAAAAAAAAAAAAAAGAGATTTTGCGGTAAAATTCTAGTATACGGTAAGGCTTTGGGCACGATTTTGAAAATTGTTGCCAAGACCAAAATGACCCGTTTACTGCGCATCATGATGTCGCCAAATCCCATTATTATTTCTAACCAAAGAACGTCTATGTAAAGAAGAAAAGGATTTCCATACACGTAAATGCTATTACGCCGCTAGAAAGTGGAGGGAAAATTTGCCAAGGTATTTGGCGACGGAACCTGGCGGCCAGAATTTTCCTCTCCGCGATGTGTACAGGAAATTGAGAAACACGTGTTAAAGAAGAAACGTTCTTTGACAAAAAAGAAAACTTACGAAAATCCGTTTTTAAATTATTGCGAAAAATCCAAGAAGAAACGTTTTTATCAAAGGAACGTTTCTTCTTGGATTTTTCGCAATAATTTTAAAAACGGATTTTCGTAGTTTTTTTTTTTTTTTTCCCCAATGAAAATAACTAATCCATGAATTAATTTACTTGCGCCAAAAAATATTTTTTTTTCCTTTAGAGTTTTAACCACTTGCGCTAAGACTAAACTTCACAGTTGCGGTGCCGTGCGCTAAGCGGTAAAGTGTCTCATTTACGCCGCTCCGCATCTGCGAGTGCAATCCAGAGCTGTAACTCAAGAAATAAACAAATAAACAATGTCGTTGTTAGGCGACGTGTGCACCACGTTTATTTTCATTTTTTTTTGCGGTAAATGCTTATCGCAAAAATGCGTGCGACGTGGTGTTCACGGTCGCTCGCGGTTTGAGACAAAAGCATCTTGACGTGCGTGGCACGTCTTTTTAGCGCAAGTGGTTAAAGAAATTTTAAACGATATTCATTTTATGAACTCTTGATAACGTGACCTTCGAACTTCGACACCGGTTTCGAGCTTTGGCGACAGATATATCAGACATGCACAGCTGTTTCCTTCTATGATGGAATGGAGCCACGTCTGTTGCAGAGAGGTTTTCCTTCTTTACAATACATATTCTTTGATTCTAACCTCCATGATACCGTATACTAGGATTAAACCCATTTTGTTTTATACGAGAACAAGTACTTTCTTTAGTTC